GATGAGAAAACTGTGGCCCAAAGAGTCCAAGTGACTGACTCCAAATCTTAATCTAATATTCAGTGTGGTTTGGGCCAAATATATGAGGCACATAAAACTACAGAAGTATAGAAAATTGTGTGCACACTGTAATTTCTTAAAAAGTCAATTTTGGTCATCAGATGTTAAACACCTGGACAAAGTCCAGTGAATGCGTCAGTCATTTAACATAAACTATGGTAATTGCTGGGGATTCAATTTCCTATGTGCTTCAGCTGGATAATAAACTGTCTCCTGGAATGGGGCCCTCAGGAGAGAAAAGTGCATGAATCACTCACACTCATGATTCTGGAGAAATCTAAAGCCACACTACCTAAACACAGAACTTAAACTACCAGAACACAGCAATTTTGCATGAAATAAAGTATGGTGGTCAGGTACTCTGAGAAGAAATACCTGAGAAATTGGGAAGGGATTCTGAGTGGAAGTTTTTAAAAATAAATACATATATTTTTATTTATTTATTTATTTATGGGGTGGGGGTTTTAAAAGATAATCATCTAGGAATTTTTCTCTAATTTCTTAAAATTAGTATTCAGTCTCATAAGTAACATTTTATTTTGATAGAATTTTAAACTTAAAAAGTTTTAAGAACTAGCTCGCAAATTCTTTTTACCTAGATTTACTATTTGTATATTGCCCTCATTGCTTTATCTCTGTCCCTTTTTCTAACTTACTCATTTATTTACCATCTGAGCCAACTGAGAATATTTTAGAGATATGGCATGTCTTTACCCCTAAAAACATTAATATATCATTCCTAAGAATAAAAACATTCTCTTACAGAATACTTACAATTATGTTAATTAGAAAATTTAACATTGATACAATATTGCGGTCTAATTGCTATTTTTAATAAGCAAGGCACTGAAGTCACTATACTCTTTTCTAAATTAGCTTTCATTATGTGCCACGGGTTTGGGGATGAAGCATTCTCATAGTACGTTTTTGCAATGGAGTGAGCGAAACCAAGTATACAATGTTGTTCTGTTACCTGTTGATGCATTGGTTGCTTCATAGCTTATTAAAAAGCCTTCATAAGCAAGGTCAGAGTCAGCCACAAATTTAAGCATTAATGAGTTGGTACTACTGGTAAGAGACGGTGGGATTGATTTTCCACAGTATCTGTTTGAAACCAAGAACACAGATTTTAAAACTTTTAGTATACTTGAAATGATGCACCAAAAATTAGGACATGTAAAAATAAAAAATAATAACCCCCCATTAACCTTGAAAAACAAATATATTTCAAACCCAAAACATTTACAAAGTTGCTGAAGATCGTCCTATTCATGATTACTTCCCTGAAATGGTTATATGTGTATACCTAGCTGTGTGGCTTGCCATGCATAAGAAGTTTAAGGAAATGAGAAGTTGCAAGGTATACAAAGTCACTGTATAGCATGTTAATGAACTTATTAATAAAAATGTAATAAAGTTACACAATAAAGGGAAAACATAGACCATAAACTCATAGAGCACAGACTCTAGTGTCAGCTCCATCATTTGGAGGCATTATGACTTTAAGCAGATCACTCAACCCCAATGCTTCAGTTTTCTCATCTCTAAAATGGGGATTATGATAGCATTTACTCCATAGAGTTGTTTTTAGAATTTTATGAGTTAATATACTACATTTAAGAGGGTTAGAACAATGCCTAGAAAAGTGAGCCCTATAGAGTGAGCCCTATATAGGGTTCCTATATAGGAGCCCTATAATACCTAAAGAGGTATTATCTTTAAACAGCTGGCCTATGTGGAGGTAAAAGTTTGGTTACCGAGCCATGTTAAATTTTTGCTAAGTAGAACCAATTTTACTCAGAAGAAGAAAGTTTTAAAAGAAAAAATAAAGAGGGAGAATAACACTAGGAGATTAAATAAAACACTAGGATATGAAAATAAAAATGTACTATGAGAATACCTCATCCCCAAACCCGTGGCACATAATGAAAGCTAATTTAGAAAATAAATAAGAAAATAATAAATAAAGGGAAAATGTTTAAAATGGGTAAGAAAAAAGAAAATGAAATTAAGAAGAAATAAAAAAGTAATCAAGAGATTTCTATTTCCAAAAATATGTAGTAATAGGGGCTGGATATAAAATCTGTCATCTGAAACAACTGAAAATCTGGTCTGGACAAAAATATACAAAGCAGTGGATCTCAAGATACTGGATATCAAGCAATGAAGGACAAAGATTCTTCAGAGACAATAAATAAGTGAATTTGAAACCAGAACCAGAAATGATCAAGCTGTTTCCGAGAACCTTAATACATTTCTAAAACAAAGTTCAACATATATGGAATTTAAGAAACAAATGAGCAAAGGAAAAAAGAGAGATAGCGAGAGAAATGGAGAGAGACAAACCAAGAAACAGACTCTTAATTATAACAAACTGATGATTATGAGAAGGGAGGGGGAGAAGCAGGATGGATTAAACAGGTGATGGGAATTAAGGAATACACTTGTGATATTCACCGGGTGTTCTATGGAAGGGTTAAATCATATTGTACACCTGCAACTAATATTACACTGTATGTTCACAAACTGGAATTAAATTAAAAAAAAAAAAACACAAATCTCAAAAACACATACAGAAATGCAATAATGTTCACTGCACAAAAACACAAAATTGGAAATGTCTGGCATCCTATCGAATATTACCAGACATGAAAAGGAGGAAAGTGGAACACATAATGAGAAGAAAAATTGATCAATCAGAACACCAAGAAATGACACAGATGACTGAATTAGCAGATAAAAACATTAAAATAGTCATAACTGTATCCCAGAGATTTAAGAAGCTAAAGGAAAAAAATTAATGTGTAAAGTAGAGACAGGGAAGATATAAAAGATGATCCAAGTTAAACTTCTAGAAATGAAAACTATAATGTCTAAGATGAAAAATACACTTGGTAGGATTTATAGCAGAAGAGATATTTCAGAAGAAAAGATGGTGCACTCAAATATGCAGCAATAGAAACTTCCCAAAATGAAACACACAGAGAACAAGAACTCAAAGTCAAATGAGCAGAGTTCATCAGTAAGCTGGGGGACAATATCAAATGGCCTAAGATACTTGTAACCAGTGTCCCCAAAGGGAAGAAGAGACAGAAAAATTATTTCAAGAAATAATGACCAAAAATTTTTCAATTTGATGAAACTATAAACCCTCAGATCCAAGAAGCTCAACAACAACAACAAAATTATGCTAAGAAAATCCAGACAAGAAAAGAGTACATACAGTTTAATTCCATTTTTTATACAATTTTAGAATTTACAAACTAATTTATAGTTATCAAAAGGTTGGTTGTTTCCTGGGGTTGGGGATGAGAGACAGAGGTGAGGAATTATCTTGATTTTGGTAATGCTTTCATGGATATACACTATGTCAAAACTTAATTACTGAAGACCAAGATTACAGAGTAGTCAGTAGCGATACAGAAATGGTCATTGAGGAGCGGACATGTTGCTCTCAACTGGTTTTTATAACACAACATGGTCGATTTTAACATTCTTCACTGCAGTAGGAAAGCAAGTAAGCAGGAGGTTCTTTGTGTGTTAAAAGAAAATAAAAACAAAATATTTTTACCTCCCAAGAGATGTCTCAGAACCAGTGTCATAAACTTCCAAATAGTCATTTGTGCAATTGTAATGAAACTGCAGATGAAACACCCTGAAGAGCAAATTAATCAGGTGGCCGGGTTGGACTAATATATGCCAGGTACAGTTGATGCCATGAGGGTAGATATTTGGATGGCCAGGACTTTGAATGATTCCTGTTGACTCTGTCAGAATTTTTCCACATGCTGTCGAAATAAAAATAATAATCATTATTAGAATAACTAACCAACAAGCTACCCGGAATTCAAAATAAAATAATCTGATCATAACCTCTTAAAAGCTGAAAAAGAAATATGTTACTCATATGCCACGTAAGATAACCTAGTTTTTCTCTTTTATTAGTAGATGTCAGTTAACTATTGATATGTACTGATTAGGAAATATATTTTTTTCTTTGCCTTTTGAGTGTACTTTAAAATTTTTACAATGTTGATGACTACACATCTACAGTGCAGATGAATTTTCTATAATAATTTATTACTGCTGCTTACTTTTTCTGTCCAAAGGCAAAGTAGGAGAGAGTGTCAGTATCTTACCCAAATCTGCAGAACTGAATTTGGCCATGAAACCACGATTTTCAGTAGAAGAACTTTTCACGAATATGACATAAAGAAAATTGTACACAGATGTTATAAATGAAGGTATGTCTGTGCCACAATATTTTTTATTTTCAGGGGAACCCAAAATTGGACTGCTACCAATCTGAGTAAACAAGAACAAAAAAAGGTATATTCAAATTTATTTTGTTAGATATTATTTTGGAAAACTGCTTTTTAAATTTAAATTCAATTATCTAACATATAACATATTGTTTGTTTCAGGGATACAGGTCTGTGATTCATCTGTCTTATATAATATCCAGTACAACTGTTTTTAAGAATAATTATTTCCGAAAGATATTATTAATGTCATAAAATAAAATTTTAGTCACCCCTAAAGAAACTTCATACTTTTTAGTGATCATTCCCCATTTCCCTCAAACCCCAGGCTCAGAAAGTCCACACTGTACATTTCAAATAAATAAAATTACACACTACTTGGTCTCATATGACTAGCTTCTTTAACTTATTTTCAAGATTTATCCATGTAAAATGTGTCCTTTCTTCATTCCTTTTTATATCCCACTGTATGGAAATGCCATATTTTAATAATCCATTCATTAGTTGATGGATATTTATATTGTTTCTTCTTTTTGGCTACCAAGAATAACAATTGTAGTCATTTATGTATAAATTTTCATGTGGACATATATTTTCGTTTCCTCTAGATATACAGGTAGGAGTGGAATTGCTGGCTCAAATGTGTAACTTCTTGTGGAACTTGCAACTGCGTTCTGAAGTGGCTGTACATTTTATACGCTCACTAGCAGTGTGTAAGTGTAAGAAGTTTCCAGTTTCTCTCGATCCTTGCCCATATGCTTTATGTTGTGGCTTCTGGATTATAGCCACCCTCCTACTTGTGAAGCAGTATCTCGCTATGGTTTGGTTTGTATTTCTCTGAAGATGAATGATAGTCAGCAACTTTTTATGTGCTTGTTGGCTATTTGTGTATATTCTTTGAAGAAATATGCATTTAGATTCTTTGCCCACTTTAAAAATTAGATTGTTTTTAATTTTGATGGAGCCCAATTTTCTATTTTTTTCTTTTGTTGTTCTTTGTGTCATATCTAGAAGCCTTGGCCTAACCTAGGTCAGAAATACCCCTCTGTTGTCTTCTAAAAGTTTCACTGTTTTAGCTCCCACACTTAGGTCTATGATCCATTTTTAATTAATTTCTGTGTATGGTTAAGGAAAGGGTCTACTTTCACAATTTTGCATGTGGTTATTCAATACCATTTGCTGAAAACACTATTTTTTTCCCCATTGAAATGTCTTGGTGACCCTTTCAAGAATCAGCTGGCCATACAGGAATGGATTTTTTCTGTATTTTTCAATGCTGTCCCATTTTTCCAATTTTGGTCCTTACTCAAATAACATACTATTATTACTGTAGCTTTTTTCCAAGTTTTAAAATTGGTTAAGTGTGAGTCTTCTAACTTGGTTCTTCTTTTTCAAAAATGCTTTAGTTATTCTGTCATTTCTAGATGAATTTTGCAATCAGCTTGTGAATTTCTGCAGAACATGCCAGCCGGGATTTTGATAGGGATTAAATGGAATCTTCAGATATGTTTGGGGAGTACTGCCAACCGAACAACATTAAGACTTCTAATCCATAAACATGGGATGTCTTTCCGCTTATTTAGCTCCTTAATCTCCTTCAACAATGCTTTAAGACTATATGTTTTATACATCTTTTTAAAGATGCATTTCTCAATATTTATTCCTCTTTATGCTATTGTAAAGGGCATTGCCTCGCTGGTTTCATTTTCAAATTTTTCACTGCTAGTGTATAGAAAAAGAAATGGCTTTCATATTTTAATCTTGTATCATGCAATTTGCTGAATATGTTGGTGTGTGTATATTCCTTCTAATTGTATGTATGTATGTATGTATGTGTGGGTTCCTTATGATTTTCTATATATAAGATCATGTTATCTGTGAAGAGAGATAGTTTTACCTCTTCCTTTTCATTCTGAATGCATTTTCTTTCCTTTCCTCACTTAATTGCCCTAGCTAAAATCTCCAATATAATGTTGAATAGAAGTGGTAAGAACAGACATCTTTTTACTGATGATAAGGGTAAAAGATTTGGTATTTCATCAGTAAATATATTAGTTGTGGACTTTTTATAGATGCCCATTTTCAAATTAAGGAAGTTCCCTTCTATTTCTAGTTTGTTGAGCATTTTTATCATGAAAAGACACTGGATTTTGGCAACATGTTTATTCTGCATCTACTGAGGTAATCATGTGGAAGGTTTTTTCCTTTATTTTATTTTATATTAGCTGATTTTGTAATATATACCAACATTGCATCTCTGGGGATAAATCCCACTTAGTCATGGGGTATATTCCTCTTTACAAACAGTTTTGTTTCCTGTAGCTGATCTGAGGATACTGTGACATCATATTTTCAATAACATTCTACCAAATACAAGTATTCAAAGATGTTTTACTCTTACCTCAATATAATCTCTATCACAGTGGGCAGAACTTCCAATTTCAAAGGCAGTGAAATTGAAAATAACTACTTGGCTTTGGGGCTGGCGGATGGTCCACCTGCAGATCCTTTCTCCCGGATACACGTTAGGATGAAAAGGTGAGCGAATGAACCCTTTTCTGGTTAATTCTCCTCCACATGCTGCAAATATGAAAATGACAGTAGCGTTTGTTTAGATAAATGATTCTTGCCTTCACTTTTACTGCAAGGTTTAGTTCTGCATAGGAATATAAAGGAATGTGATATTACTCTTAGAATTTTTTCCTCGCCATTAAAAGACATAATAAAATTACTAAGTTATTTCAAGAAATTAAAATGTTACAGACAAATTAGAAACTTAAAAACTGAGGCATAAATTTTCTTACCAACTTGATAAACAGCTCTGAAACTAGCTCTTACAACAGAAGTATCTATTTTAAGCCTGATCCAGATACTATTAGTAATGGATTTAATGTGAGAGAGGGTTTCACTGCCGCACACTTTTCCAAGTAAGGTTTGATCATCTCGAACCTAAATAGAAAAACAAAATAGATCATCAACAAAATTACTTTGGCAATGGTGGATTATTTGGAGATGAAAAAATGGCAGATTCAGAATAAGTTTTAATCTAATTTGGGTTACATATGGGTTACATAATATTGGGTTACATATTCAGCACAATAAAATAACACTAAATATTGATAACAACATCTTAAGCCAAATAAAATCCAAAAGCATAAGAATATTTAACACTTTCTCCTAATAACTTCTACAATGTGAACAGGGAGATAAATTTACAATTTTGGATTATTTAGAAAACAGCAAAATATGAGAACATGATATATCAAAATAAGCAAGTTTTAGTCAAATCTGTAATCAAAGGAAGTCATAGACTAAACTGCTTTTATAATTGAAAGAGACAGAACAGTAGATAACAAAGAGAATTTAAAGAGTCAACTTAAAAATTGGAAAAATATTAAAATGAGGGATAATAAAGTAAAACTAAAAGTAAAACCTAATAAATAAAATACAAAATAATGTTTTTTGGGAGTAAGTTGGGGGATAGGGATATTTAAGATATATCTTTGTCAATAAAGATAAAAGAAAATAAAGAGAAAACTTAAAAAAAAAGATAACACAGATATATAAACCAAAAACGAGAAACATGCTACAAATACACAATACTGACACATTCATTTCATATGAATGATAATTCTTTGTACAATGCTATGCTAATACAGCTGAAAGTTTGAAATGGTTATTTCCAGAAAAAATATAAATTACTAAAATTATCTCAAAGAGAAGGAAAATAAAATCTGAATAGATAATAAACCATGGATAAAATTGAAAACATTATCAAATTACTCCCTACCCCTCCAAAACTCTCAGAAAATGCTCTATCTCATCAATTGTTTCAAACTTTCTTTTAAGATTTTACTTAGGGAGAAAGAGAGAGACTCATGCACAAGTAGGAAGAGGGGCAGAGGGAGAACAAGAGAGTCTCAAGCAGACTCCGTGTTGAGCATGGAGCCTGACACAGAGCTCAGTCTCATGACCCTGAGATCATGACCTGAGCAGACATCAAGAGTCTGACACCTAACCAACTCTGCCACCCAGGTGTCCCAATTATCTCAAAATTTTATGGAACAAGTGATTGCCATAGATGATTTGTTCTAAGGGACCCTGAAACATGGAAGACTCCCCAACAAATTTTTCTCAGAACTATCTTACTAAATTCCAACATAGTTAATACAAATGAAACTATGGATTGTTTTCACCTATTTGGATAGATACAAAAATCTTAAACACAGTTCTAGAAGAACAAATTTACTTCAACATTAGGCTTATGAACCAATCAAATATGAGATTTTAAGTAATGCAAATTTATTTAAAATTATGAATTATAAATTACACCCATCAATGGATCCAGTAAGATAAACCATGCCTTTCTGTAGATATTTTTTTTTTAAGATTTTATTTATTTATTTGACAGAGAGAGATCACAAGTAGACAGAGAGGCAGGCAGAGAGAGAGAGGGAAGCAGGCTCCCTGCTGAGCAGAGAGCCCGATGCGGGACTCGATCCCAGGACCCTGAGATCATGACCTGAGCTGAAGGCAGCGGCTTAACCCACTGAGCCACCCAGGCGCCCGCCTTTCTGTAGATATTAAAAAGGAAAAGTCAACATTCCTTTTTATTAAGAGCAAAACTCTTAGAAAGTTAGAAGCAAAAGAAAATTTGCTTCATACAATAAGGACCACCTGCTTTAAATCAATAGTCAATGTCTTATAAGGGCCATGAGCACAGTCCATGGAGTCACACAGACCTGCCCAGAGCCCCTGCACTTCTGAGCAAATTATTAAATCTAAGCCTGGCTCATGGGGTTGTTAAGCAAATAGATGAAACAATACTGTGAATTCCTCAGCAAAATGCCTAATAATAAAAAAATGTGAACTAAAGAATAGCTATTGAAATTCTTGACACTTTGAAAGGTGAAACGCTAGAGGTTTCTCACAAAATCAGGAATGATTCCATGAATACAGTATATTATTACTTAAGACAATGGTTCTCAATAAGTGTCACAACTACACATTTGTTTTTAAAGATTTTATTTACTTATTTGAGAGAGAGAGCACACAAGCTGGGGGAGCAGCAGAGGGAGAGGAAGAAGATGGCTCCTGGCACGGCAGGGAGTCCAATACAGGGCTTGATCCCAGGACCCAGAGATCATGACCTGAGCTGAAGGCAGACACTTAACTGGCTGGGTCACCTAGGCACCCCACAACTGGACATTTTGGAAATCTCTGAAAATATTTTTTGTTTTTGTTTTAATCAACTAACGCAGTAGTGGTTAGGCACTATTGGCATTTAGTGCCTGGGGACCAGAGACAATAAACACCCTGAACTGTGAGATAGTCACACACAAAATTCCTCTTATATCCTGTGTGAGACTCATATAAGGGACAGTTCTATTACTAAGTGTAAAATCTAGCTCTATTTTATAGACCGAACCTAAAATATTTTTGCCCAATTTGAATACACACTGGATTTTCCAAGATTATAAGTAGAGTACAAATCAAAGGAAGTTTTGTATTTTTTTTTCCTGGAAATCTGACAAGTGTTCATAACCATTTCAGAAAATTTGTCACCAACCTACGCAGCCACGTCAGCCTGGGTTTGTACTGTGGCATTCACAGTGACTCAAAGAGAAAAGAGACTAAGCCCTCATAATTTTCTTCAAGTCTAGCTTGCTTGGGCTTATAACATAATGCAATAAGTAAATATGTACTTTTTTACTTTATTTCTCCTAAATCTTATGTTCTCAACTATATTTTTTATATTATATGTGCATTGAGGTTATATCATCTTATGAATTTCATTTCAGAATAGAGAAATGGTGATAAAAAGAAGGCCTTAAAGGAAACAGACTTCACCCCAAAACCCTCAACTCAAACAGGGGATTATGGGATATTTGTCAGTGGAAATAACCTTTAAGTTGAGCCTTGAAGGATTATCCATCCAGGCTAAGGAAAATGGGCAATAAAGGGAAGATTTTAAAAGTTCTGATACTCAAAGCCAGCACGGATGCGGTAACACAGTTGTTCCAATCTACATTGGATATATTAGCATATATAAATTTCTGGGAAATAATTTGACAGTGTGCATCAGGAATCTTTAAAATGTTCAGTTTTGGACCCAGTATCTTCACTCCTAACACTCTATCATAGGGAAATCATTCGAGATACAGGCAGAGACACACAAGGATTCACATCAAAGTTGATCTATAATTACAAGAACTGAAAACATTCCAAGTGTCTAATAATAGGAGAGTGATTAAATAAATTAGGGTGCAGCCATATGATCTCATCTTACACAGACCTCAAAAATCACATGCCTCCCCACTGACTCGTACCAAACTGGTTTCTTTCTAAGCTCTGTAACACGAATTTCACATATTGCCTTAAAGTTATGCTAAATATCTCTCTAACCAAACAGCGAATCTTTGAAGGAAAACATCTGCCGTGCCTTTAGCATCTAACATGGAACTCTGCAAATAGGTATTTGACAAACGCTTGTTGATTCATTAATTTTAAGGCCTGGTATGATGGTTCAATTTTTGTTAGCGAGAAACATACCAGTTCTTGGAAACCGGGAAGCAGGAAACACGGAGTAAGATACCACCCCGCTCTCTCTCATCCTCCAGGGCTCCACTCTCCTCTGCTAAGACTGTAGTCTCTCGTATTTTGTCCATTAGAAGATGACAAGAAGGAAGAAAAACAGCCAAATAGCATCAGAGCAAGCTAAAGTGGGACATTCCCTAGGGCCTCACTAATGAAATTCAAGGATTTTAGCAAGGAGAAAGGCAGCTGCAGTCCAAATGTTTTAAGAGGAACTTATAGGGCTCAAGGGCCCTAAACCTAGAAGGTACAATTGATTTTGGCTGTGTTTCTCTGTCTCTGTGGAAATGAAAGCTTATTAAATCGGAAAGCCTATATTCTCTCTGGATCCTGGACATGACAATACCTTAACCACAGATCCTCTGAAAGAGACAAATAAAGTTCATCAAATGCTCTAAAGTGTCTCAGATATTGTTGCAGCCCATTCTACATTCAATATGTAGGACTCGTGAATTTGTACCTCCCCCACAACAAAAGCAATAACAACAACAGCAACCCCTTTTTCTTTGGTGCATAGGCACTAGGATAGACTGTATTATTTTTCCTAATTATTTACTTCCTTCCCTGTCATGGGATCTAACATCTCAGCTCATTGCCATGTGACTTATAATGCCACCCCATGAAGAATTAAAACTTATTCTTCCGATTGACTAGGCTTGGCCATATGGTTCGCTTTACCCAACATAATGTGAGTGAAAGTGATATGCCATCTCCAGGATGGAGTCACTGAAGGAGTCAACTATCTTCTCCTTTCTTTTCTTACAAGGTCAAGAGCCTGGGTCCCAGGGACAGATGGGATAGGGTGAGCAGATCAGCAAAACTGCCAGCGACCCCAAACCAGCATGTTTACATGTTTACATGAGCAAAGAATAAATGTATACTGTCGTAAGCCACAGACATTTTTTTGTTTGTTATTGTTTTTGATTTGTTGTGTTGCTGTTGACTGTTTGTTATTATAGTATAACCTACTATATGAGATGATTTGTATTTAAACCTGGTTTATATTAACAAGGAGTTTTTCTTAACAAGGCAGGTGAAGCCATACCATAGTCACTTATAGAGGCATGACATCAAGTTCGTTCTTTATACTGGATCACATTTGCAAAGAAATGACCAGGGCCACTTCAAAATTCCAGTGTCTCTATCCATCTAACACTGGTTGTTTCAGGCCCAGAGATGCAATAGATAGCCTGTTGCCCATGATCATTAGCCTGTGGAACAGCCCAGATGGCTTCTGATTTTTGCATTAATCAGACAACTAGTTCTTGAAGATATACTATTCATTAAAACAACAATAAAAACAGAGTTCTTACAAAGGAACAATTCCCTGTAAAGAAAGTTAAAATAAACAAGGCCAAAAAAACACAGTTCATATGAAATTTAAGTGTGAGCTCTAGAGCCTAGTCAGCAGTAAGCTTTAACATCTGGAATGGATCAGGTCCCAAAGCCCCATCTTAATGCATGTGCTCATTTGTTTGTATCTGCTATGTATCCAGATTTGTTTTTATATAACAATTCCAAAAATCTATTTAAAGTATTAAACTTTAATTCAAAGCAAACCAAATATGCTAGAGATGGGTCTGGTCCAACCAAGAGCTGAAGACAGAACCCTCCCACACAGAAATGTTTAACGTGTAGCTTCCTGTGAAGTGACCTTCAGGTGGAAATGCCCCTGAGCAAAATAAAGACTTGATCCTGCAGACTAGTCTTGGGTTAATTTGGGTACACAGGAGGGGGATGTGGCCCCACTTCAATTAAGACAATAAACAGTGAGGGTAAGAAATGAGAGAAGCCACACAGGGATTAAAAACTACTTCCCTGGGGCTCCTGGGTGGCTCAGTTGGTTGAGCAACCAACTCCTGATTTCAGCTCAGGTCATGAGCTCAGGTTTGTGAGTTGGAGCCCCTCGTCGGGCTCCTCACTGAGCCAGAGTCTGCTTGAGATTCTTTCTCTCCCTTTCCCTTTGCCCTTCCCTCTGGTTAGGCACGCGCTCTCTCTCTTTCTCTCTCTCAATAAACAAATAAATAAAATCTAAAACTTTTTATATTATTCCTTATGTTATTGTCATTATGTTTCATGATTTCAGAGTTAAAATTTTAAAGTGTTTTATGCCTCACGAAACAGTGCCTCTACTGATATCTCTATCAGTAAACTTATAATTTGTCCAATACTTTTAAAAATCTGCTTTTCCAAAATCAGGAATCCTTGTCTAGTTTTACCTAGAAGTGTGAACCTACATGATTGCAAACTCCATCATGCTACCCTCTCCTCCCTTTCTCTTCTCCCTAGCATCACTGTCAGAATCAACCTCAAGTTAACCTTTAGTAACAATGACTGGTGCTCTGGGCTCTGTGCTAAGAATATTCTAATTGTTCCCCTTTGCACTGAGCATGTCTGGGTTCTTCATCTCCAACTACAAAGATTTTACAAGATCTAGCTCCTGCCTAAATCTTGTTTCTTTCTTTCTCTCCTTTGCGATTCCAACCACACTAGGCTCTTCACAATTCTTTGAGTTTGTCGAGATTTTTTTTTCTCAATTCATCTCCTACATTAGCACTTCCAGTTGAAATCCTCCTTCCCTTGACTCTTTGCATTGCTAACTCCTTCTAATTCTCAGACCCCAAATGTGCTGTCGTTGGGGGAGCTACCTCTGACCATTCAACTAACGTCATTAGCCCTGTTATTTTCTTCCACAAGACTCTTTCTTTCCTTCAAAATGCATTTCCCAACACAGTTGCATGCTTGTTTAATATCTGTCTATTTTACACATCCAACCCCTAACAGTGCCTGGCATCTAAGTTGTTCAATAAATAGAGAATGAATAGACAAATAATTGGATGACCCTTTTTAATTCTTTTGAGAAGTCTAATACTACTATTCCTATTACAGATTAGGGAAACTGACACCCAGTGGTGTAAAGTATCTTGCCCTTGATACAACAGAGAGTTGAAGTCCTTCAATGTTTCCCTGCAGTATTGTGTTTATAGCAGAGAGAACTGGCCATCCTCTTGATTCCTCTGAATAGCTTGTGGCACTCTTGATAGATGCCCTTCCTTATAGCCTCTGCATCTCACTTGTCCCATTGGGTTTGTAGTCTCCCCCATGAGCATGCAGCTCCTTTACACAGGATCTGTTCTGTAAATCTCTCACACCTCCATAACGAGGTGGGGCTACCATCTCAGTCTTTTCCCTGGCTCCCACTACACCAATCAATAGAATTATTTCACCTGAGCAATGGCATATTTTGCCACTCCATTTCAAAAGATCAGGATGGCCAAGGAATTATGGAAAGACTACATTGACAACAGAGCTAAGAAACTAACCGAATGTTTCTAACCTCTGCCAAAACTCCAGATCCAATATGCTGAAGAATGCAAACTATTGAACATCACTCCATTGCCCCCTTTTCTGGTCATCTCTGAAAGATATTTCTCTGAACTAAAATTAATTGCAACATGTGCCTAACTGGAAATAATCCTCAGCCTCCACTGGTATGTTTGTTTGCTGCAGTTAACATTCCAGTTTCAGTTGTCAGAGGTCTTATTCTTTCTCTGCCATTTGAATTTTATTCTTAAGAACTATTCAGTGAGTCCCAGCCATGAGACTTTAACGAGCACGTCCCTTTGAGGATAACAAATATATACAAGCAGACCAAAAGTCATAGCCCTCCCTCAACCATCCCAAGGCTGGAGCTGAATAGCATCAATGCCTAACAAAAGCAAAAGGAAATCTTTTGTGAATTTGATTATATCTAAAGATGTGTGGAGATGTGGGAATGCTGTGCAAGGCCAGCTGAGAGGGCTGGGGTAAGGAGTACCAGGAAGGGGAGAGGGAGGTGATAAAAGGTTCAGAGGGAAGATAGATCTCCAGTGTTTCAGCTTGTCATCCTCTCCTATGTTTCCAATTTTTAGTTCCTTCTTTAAAATTTTGAAGATTTTACCTGGAAGTTGAGTTTCATCATGTCTCACAGATTTTGATATCTATCTAGCATTTCCTCTTTGTTATTTTCTACATTGTCTTTCATTTCATTTTCTATTTCCTTCCTGAACACAGTAACTATTTAGGAGAGTTTATAAATTTCCAAGTATTTGGATATTAAAAAAATTTTATTAATAACTTCTAGTTTCCTTACATTGTAAAGAGATAGGTGTGTAATTTCTGCTCTGCGAATTTGCTTGGATTAGCAAGAAGTCATTTGCCATTCAATGACACAGAGTAGTACACATTCCCCATATTTCAGACACCAAATTTAACGTAGCTTACTTTTCTATATTTACTTTTGTTTGTTTTCTACTTCTAAGAAGGAACAACTTCCCCAGAAGCTCTCCTATTTCCCCAGAAGGCACTTCTCCTTGCCCTTCCCTTATTAGTCTCTCTTATGAGGTTCCCTTTCCACTTACCAGAAGCCTTAGCAGGAAGAGGTCAGATGATTCAGGATTGGTCAAGGAGATTCTATTCATTTATTTCTACATCTCATTTCAAGCCCTGGCCTTAGCATCATATAGACTTCTAAAATTATTATTCAGCCTATTACTTGGATTCTCTGGGATTAAAAATTAAACTTTCATCACTTCTTTATGTGTCCTTCACTTAGAGTTCTGAGGGCTTAAATCACTTATGAAATATTAATGAGAGGTGCTGCTTTTTATTATGGAAAGATGCTTCTGAACCATTCATTGATTTGTTCTATACAATTTAAAAGCTTTCTTAGACAAAAACAGATGAACTAACAGTTGATCTGTTCTTGCTATACTCATTCTTTTGTTACTGGCCCCATTACATCACCCATGGGCAATGTGTGTTTCTAGAAGCAGAAGTTAAGTTGAAAGAGATACATAAATCCAAGAATTAATGCATAAATGTGTGCTTCTTAATATAAAAAGAAAAATATAGATACGCTACACTGGATCTGGGCAATGCCACATTTATTATCTTCTGTAGTTAAATTTTATTCTCAAATAAAATGCTTACAGAGCTCTCTTACTGAGCAAAAAATCTTTCAAAAACATACTATACATGAAAAAGATACAGTAGGCAATAGTCTTTATTTAAATTTCTCCATTTAAAGGATAGATTTGGATGGGAACAAGACAACTGGAACCACATAATTAGAAGATGTGGGATTTTTAGAAATGTATATATTCATTCAGAAGAAAATTTCTTGTTATTATTCTCCCAGATCTCTCTAGAATTCCCGCTCTCACTTTTCACTCTTTCTAAAATTTTGGGTGGTCTTTTCTCTCTTATAAATAGAGTTAATAAACGGTAAAGCCATCTGCTTTCTAAACCACCAGTGTATCTGAAATACCATTACTCTTTTTTTTATTCCTTTACTTAAATATTCACTTTTTAGGTATACCTTTTAAAAATGAAATCACCATTTCAGAGAGCAATATTTTGAGTCATAATAATTCCATTTGAATTTGGTTCCAGAATCACTTTCTTCCATGCCCACTATCTGAAGAACATGAAAAGAAGTAGATATACTTAAAAAAAAAAAAATGGCTCAGTTCACAGATTATCCCAATAGATAGATGTGAGGTATTGGCAAGAAATTGGTAGAAGTCAGCATAAGTCTATCTAGCATCCCACGTAGGTACATCTAAATCCTATTCTGACAATAACTAGAGTTTGGTCTTTGTGACCTCAATTTCCTCATTTGTAAAATTAAGGATTTAAATTAGATGACCTTTCAGGCCCTTGCTGTGCTAAAATTCTACAAATCGATCGTATTCCTTTAGGATGGTCAAGGACATAATAGAAAATCTTTTCAATTATTCAAATCACTATACATGTCCTGTCCTTCTAATACTGCTCTTATATTGTCTCCATCAACAACCTCTGAGG